AATGCACTAGAAGCATTTGTATGTCCAGTTTCTTTCCATGACTTATTGGAGAGAACAGACGTTTGCACCTGGTAGATGGTGATTCCTGAAACTGCTCCATTACGTTTGCCTCTGACTAAGCCCTAAATGAAGCCAAGCTTTTATTAGGGCGAGTTCTTTCCTGTGGGATGGGTAGGCTACAAGGATTGCAGATTGACAGGGATAGGGTGAACTGGACTTAAACCTTGCCAAATCACTTCTTTATGGGCTCACACATTACAAGAGTTGCTAGAATGAACAATTACAAGAGTGAAAATGCTCTGTGTTTAAAAAACAAAAACAAAACCAAAAACAAACCCAAAACAAACAAACAAACAAACAAAATGCACCTTGCATTGTAAAGGAGATCTATGTTAAACAAATTGCAGGCTTCAGTTGAAGCTTCAGAAATTTCCATCACTAGTTCATGCCTCTTAGTAGCGGGATTCTGACATTTGTGTGATAAGATGAAGGCTGTAGAATGCAATTTTAATGTGCGAGGAACAAACTTTTCATTATTTCAGATTATTTCGGCTTTAAAACATAGGGTTAATCAGCATATATCAAGGCTCTGTAGTTTAGTGCAACTACTACAGTTCATCCAATTTAGAGAGACAAAAAGAAATAAAAGGGAAGTGGAATTAGCACAAGGAAATTATACAGATGCGTGAATGACAGCTTCTGAATGCTTAGTGTGAAATTTCTCTTCAAGGTTCATGCAGATCCTCAAGGGATGGAGCATTTTGAAATGATTAGCTCTTCACATAGTAAAGCCTTCTTCCTTGCAGTCATGGCAACAACTCAGAAACTCCTCTCCTTTCCCATCTCCTGCACCTTGGCAACAGGAGTGCCACAGGTTTTTAATCTACTTCTGGTTAGCTCTTCAGCTGCTCTTCAGCTGCACAATACAAATTCTGAGTTAAGGTAACTTTTACAAATGTGATGACCCATTTTAACTGATGAGAAAGGAGAGCTGCAAGCTGAGAAAGCACACAGCGACCTGGCTTGGTTAGTATTACCCCGCAGGTCTCAGGATGCCACAAGAGAGATTAATTTTGCCTGGTTTGGAGCCACCCTTGCTGACAAAAAGGAAACTAAAGTTGGCTCAGTTAATACTTAAAAGCGGAACAAGATAAAATCTGCATTTCTTCTAGAGCTTTATAGTATGGACTCAGGGTTGGGTTTTTTTCTGATTTGCTTTGGGGTTTTTTAATTTTATATTCCTTTCTTTAGTGTTTTCCCAGTATCCGTGACTTCACAATCAGCCTCTTGTCTTGTTTGCATGGTCATAGTAGCAATCTCTTTTCAATTCTGAAATTTGGCCAGGCCTAGTAAATAGGCTGGTATTTCCATGTAGAATTACCTACTAAGTGTGTTAGCTAAAAGGAGACTTAAACATAATTAGAAAACCATTGGACTGTTTTCCCATTAAATATACATGTCTGTGAGCCAAGCAAAGCATTTGTGACATCTCCTGGGATAAATACTCTTCTGCTTTCCTGTCTCAAACCATTTATTAAAATTTTACCACTTGTCTTTGGTGTGAATTTTCAACAGTTGAAAGACAAGTTATCTGGCATCTGTAAAGTAAACGGGGAGCATACTTGGAGCAGGAAACTCATTTTGATATAAATAAGGGGTATTTTTCTTACTGTTTGTCATTCAGAGAGGGACGTGTCTTTAAATTGAAGGACATGATACACACACACGATATTCACTTACGTGGTCCCAACTTGACCAAAGCAGAGGAGGATTTCTCAGGGTTGTCCTACCACACTTGGGAGAGAAAAGCCTTCCACAGTTTTTAAGTTGGACTTCTTAGGATTATCACTGCATCCTTCTCAGAAGATATTGCGGTAGATTTAAAACATAACCTTATCTTGGTCAGTGGCTTTCAGATCAACAGGTTAACAAATTAAGGTGGCATTTCACTTTCTTATATATATGTCTAAGTCATACTCAGCAGATGAAAATAATTGAAATCCTTTCCTGCTTAATGTAAAAGGAATAAAGAGGGAAAAGTTATCTGCTGCTGTTGAGGTCTGTTTGAGTCAAGAACAGCTGGAAGTACAAAGAGAGCTTGGAGTCCATTGTCAGTGATGAGGCAACAAGAAATCGGCATTGCATCTTGCACTTTTGCATTTCCAGGTGCCTTGACCATCCCTTCCTCCTTCAGAAACAGTGCAAGGCAAGTGGTGTGGAGGAAGTTTCTGACGAAGTAGACAGTTTTGCATTCCAAGACTGCCAGTCTGACACCTTGCACAGGATCTTACACTTAAATAACACAGTCAGATTTGTTTATATGTATTTCTCATCAGTCTTTGTAGTTGGAACAAAGACTTCAAAGACTGGCTGTGTTTGTACGGGCAGTGCAGAATTTAACTTCATTACTTAGGACCTACACTTTCCCTGTAAACCTCAAGCCTTTTTCTCCTGTTTTGGACAGGATGCTGCTTTAAAAAGTCCCTGAAATGTGCTTGGCAGCGTGAGATTTGGCAAGAACATTAACTGCTTTGAATAAATCAGATAATCTGAGCCAGATATTCTAGATCGACTGCATGACTGAAACTGGGGTTTATTACTGATAAAATGCAAACCTTTTTATTTGTGTCTACTAAAAAGCACTGTAAAAGGTAATGGTAATGTTGCTAAGGAACTATTTACCTGCCAAATGTGTCTGTATGATGCATGAGGTGACCATGGGAACCAATTTGGTGGCAATTATTTAAAGAAAACTTTGCAGTGAAATGATTATTGGATGTATACTAAATATTTCTGCAGATGCATTTGAAAAGCTTTTTACTAGGAAAAGATATAATAACTAGAAATCCATTTGGAGAGAAGGGTCAGCATAGGTCCTAGATAAAAAATACATTACTGGAGACGTTTTTTGATGTATATTTTACAAATAATGTTTTGAAAATAAATAGGAAATCTGCATTGGGTTATCAGCGTTGTGCAAATTTAAAACAGTTTGGTATCTATTCCTAGGGGACTCAGTCTTTCGACTGATTTCATTTTTCTTAAAAAATTAATTACAGGTTCCTGTATTCCCCCCAGAGAACTTATTAACTATGTCTCACTCTCCAAAGAGTGCTTGGTTCTCATGAGATAAAGTGCCTTAGGCTAAAAGCTGCTGATTCCATTTCTGATTCATAAAGAAAATTTTTAAACTTATTTTTATCCTTAGTGACATTTTCCGTGAGTGATAACCACTAGCACTATGTTAGGATCAAGGCTGTTAATGATATTGTCTTATAAAGGAAGTGTATGCTACAGAAACGATTCTTCAGGGGTTGAATTTTACTTGAAAGGTTACGTACAAAGATTATTTTCAAGCATATATGACCATTTCCAAGAAGAATTTTCAAATTTTCTATAAACACTGAAACTGTAGGAAAACCTGCTATTGCTTGAAATAATTTTCATGGAAGGTATTTACTTATGAGTTGCTCTGAGGATGCTACCAAAATACACATCCTAGTGGCATTCTACCGTAAACCCATTATGGTACCATTACCGTTTTAACCCAGCAATGAATTATATAGGAAATCTGAGATAGTACCTGGTGTAAGATTGCATTAAAATTTGTTTATTTTTCCAATTATGGCCCTGCCGACAACTGTCATCTGTATCTGTGTAGAGTAATTAAGAAGGAATCATTATAAAGAATTTATAATTGCAGGTAGACTTTGTTGGGATACTGTAAGAGACATTTCAGTGTCAATAAAGAGAGGTGAGAATGATTGTGTTTCAGATGAGAAAATACAGGCAACTGAAGTTCTGTATGGTTCCAGCTGAATACTTGTATGGATCTGCTTTTAAAAAGATGGAGATTATTTCATCCTTAAACGATTGCAATTGGGCTTGCCTTATTTTTTTGGTTTTAAGTCACTTCAGGTTGCACAGCTCAGTCTCACTCTGTCTCTGTGCAGCTCTCAGACCAGGAATGATGTCAGGCCAACGCAAAGTGAATCACTGTCTTTGAAAGAAGCTTCAAGTCTTGTGTGTGTTCATTTACAGACACTGCGACTCATGCTGGTGCTTTCCTTGCAGGCACATACAACAATAAGGATATTTTCAAGGCCTGTAACAACTCAGATTAGTTGGACGTATTCTTTTGTAAAACTGGAACATATTTATGTACATAATCCGCAGTGGGGCTGGAAAACATGTCCAAGTATAGAAAACAGGCTGTTTCTGTACTTGTATTTGTACATGTGAAGGTATTTTAGTATTGCAGAGAAGAGAACACATATAATTAGAGTGGAAGGATAATTGGGTAGACAGTAAAGTGTTTCAGAAGGTACTGTTTGAATGCTAGAGCTCATAAATTCAAATAAATAGCTTTAATTTGCACTGTAAAAGCAAATTAGAAGTTGGCAATATACTTAGCTTTTTTTTTTTTTTAGATTTTTGAAAACAAGTTATCTTTTTTTTTTTTCCTGTGGTCTGGTGACTTGTGGGATCAGTCCTGTTTTGAGTTCCAAGTGGTGAAGAGGACAAAATGCTTCTCTCCCAGTTACCTTCAATGTGCTCACTTTGAAATAGTGGAGCAGAGAAGTCAGGTTCTTTCTTACTCTAGGAAATTAACTTTTTTCAGTACTAGAAGTCCCCCCTTTGGAACAGGATTATGATACACTGCTGGAACTAAGTTACTTGAAAGTCTCTGAGCTTACCTGCTTTCACCATCACTACGTCTCCTGGGAGCTCATGTTATCTGAGCTAGTGTTCAACACTTCTTTGTGCTAATTGGAAGGTCTGGGTTTAATTTATTTAACACAGTGTGTGTCTCTGCAATGTACTTTAAAGGAGCATATATTATGTCTTTTTTCTGTAGACAGAGACTCCTTCCTCTTCAAGAGTCCTGTATGATTGTTTCTTTGCAAGACACAAATGAGAAGTGATTCTTGTAAACAGTGTAGTGACCAATTTGATTGTCTTAAGCTATTGCTTAATTAAAACTTCCGTTTGTCTTTCAGACACCCCGAACATGTGAAAACTTTATCAAATTGTGCAAGAAGAACTATTATGATGGAACAATTTTTCACAGATCAATTCGTAATTTTGTGGTGGGTATTGAACAAATCCTGTGTAATGCACAATATGTGATGTCCTCAAAATATTTATTTGTCTTAATTTAGTTTTAGTTTCTTCCATGCATGGCAACTCGCAATAGATGTTTATTAAATATACCATCAGCACTAGGATTGCCCTGACTTACTAAATTTGTGCTTACTAGTCTTACCAACAACTGCTTCTGACTAATATTGTCCCTTGGAGCATCACTGCAGTTAGTAGTGCTTTTGCTGGCATTCCAGACAAAGCCTCTGAGAGTCATTGCCTTGGCAAGGCTCTTGTTATCTTCCCTAAGCTGTGGGTGGGTGGTTAATGAACAGAAGGAGAGAGAGAGAGAGAAAGAGAGAGAGAGAGAGAGGGGAATGCTAATTTAGATAAGTGATACTGTGTCCTGTTGAAATCCCATTCAGATGAAACTTTAGAAAGCAGCTGATTTTTGTTTCAGGTTGTGGTAGTTGGATACTGTCAGGTCCTCCTTTCCTGAGCGTGCTCCAGGGCCGGGTGCCCAGGCTTTCTTTGTGAAGGAGTTAGAGCACCTCGTCAACCTTAAAGTTGACTTTGGTAGTCAAAGATCTTTATTTATGTGGGTACAGTCCAGGCAGCTTAGGATATTGTAGCTGTCCTCTAATTTCCTTTCAGAAGAATTAACAACCTGATCCTGAAGGCAGTGCATATCTTTCAGGGGACATCACTGAATTTACATTCCATCCTGTCATCCTAAAAAAAACTTTTTTTCTTTTGACAGCACTGTATATCTCAGTTCATATTTAAACTCACAATTAAAATTGTGCTTTTGTGCTATTACTGTGAAGCTAGTCATGGCACAGTCCCTCTACTGGCATTACAATACAGAATATTATTTCTGTAGATCCTGCATATATATAAATATAGTGATTAATTATGTTGCTGAAAGATTGGTTTCACATGGGGATTTTTCCTCCTGCAGATAGTGAGGGGGATACTGGGAAATACAGATTCAGATACAGAAAATATTCCATATTCCCTCATTTCTTGCTTTCCCATCATGTGGAGGATTGGTAGCACAATATAAAGCCTTTTCATTTCTAAAAGCAATGCATCATCAGGTAAAAAGCAGGTTATAACCCAGCACATAATAGAAAGGATGATCTGGTTAACCCATTTGAGACTGTTTATTTTCCCTATTTACCCACAAGAGACCTATTATTTTTATAAAACTGTCATTCTGCTCTTGGATAAGTAATGTAGGAGGTGACAGCCAGCTGATAAAAGAAGCTCCAAATAAGTAGTAATGGTTTCCTTGTTGCTAACTTGTCAACATGACACAGTATGGAAGGAAGAAAATTGTGCAGAATTGGCTTTTATGGCTTGTATTTAATGTCTTTCACGCAGATATATGTATAACCTATTGATTTTATTTAAATTCTGCAGATTCAAGGAGGTGATCCAACTGGAACAGGAACAGGTAAAGTTGAGTTTGAATCAAGTAAACTATTTTCACTTCATGCGCTGTGTTGTTACATGTATTTCCAAACACCTTGTAGATTGAATTTCTTTAAATGATGATATGTGGTACACTGTATTTCTACTTTAAGGCAGAGGTTTTTTCGCTGTAATTTTATGATTTTAACTATGCTGTGGTATATTCTCAGTCTAAAACTTGGGCACTCTTCCACATAGAATTCTTGTTGGGTCTTTGCTTCCTTTTTCTTCCAGAAAATAAATAAATAAAATTATAATGATTTTACAGCTGGCCTTCCAGGGCAAAGAACAAAGGAAGAAACACATTCATGCAAAGTTCGTTTCACATTTGGTGTTAATGAAATACTTGAGACCTGCCTCAGAATTGGTGAATGGCCAGATACCATCTGTTCTCCCAGCTAGTTGCCTTATAAAGCCCAAGCTGCTCTTTTTCTAACTTTTAAGGATCACTGTTGCTAAATTCTTCTGCCTGTTCTTTCTCCCTTAGTTGGAGATCTGCGTAATATTTGTATCAGAAATGATCAGGGGACATAGCAGCTGAAGGGTCCTCAGAGCATTGCCCACCACAGTAGATATGTCTTGTAATATCTCTAGTTGCTGCTGTAAATTTGCTCATTTTCCACCTGCGCTTTTTATCTACCCACTTGCATATGTCACCAGCCTCCACAGCTCCTTCTTGCCTGGTCCTGTGGGGTTCTGTGCATTTTTATTCTAGTTCATACGTGTGTCACTTGCATGTGCAAGCACTATATTCTTCTGTGTGTGCTCACGGGTCATCCAAAAAAGATGTCTTTGTAGTTGTTAGATACTTTAGTTCTATTTACTTTCTAAATAATGTTCATGTGAGTTGCCCAACAGCTTTTCTTCTACTGCATGCAGCAGTCAACAGCTGCATACTCTTAAGATTTGGGACTAGTTAAAGGTTCTGTGTTTTGATGGCAAAATCCCATTAACAAGATTTGTTACTGTGTATGCTTGGATTGTCAAAAGAAATGTGATTTGATTTTGTTATAAGGAAAGTTTCGGTTTGAATCCCAAAAGACATAATTAGGAACATCTTTTAAAATGAGAAATTAAAGAGGTGTCAGGAGATGGGAGAAATTTAATGGGTTGCCTCAGACACCTTTCACCTTTGTAGGGTGGAGTTCAGATCCTGCTGTGGAATGAAAATTAACTTGCTGGTGTCGTTCTTGGCTCTGTTTGTGCAAATGGTAAAAGTATTGTAAGACAGCACAATTAACAGTTGGCAGAGAACTGGCAGTGCAGCTGCATTGAAGGTCAAGACTCGGCTCTACTGGCAAAGCAAGTAGGAAGTAAAATGCAAATAAGCCCATAGGAGAAAAAAACTCCGATGTATAGTCTTTCATTTAAAAAAAAGGAGTCTAATGACCTCTGGTCTTTTCCGTCTTTTCCGTCTTTTCCTTCTTGTCATTCTTAATTAAATATGAATATATGGCAGGAGAGATGTCTTGCAAACATCTGTCAAGACTATTGAAGTTTTAATAAAATGGAACGTGTACACTCAAACAGATATGAGCACTGCAGATATTTAGAGACTGTTTACAACTATTGTAGAGTCCAAACAATGCAGCTATCTTCTTTGCAACTGAAGAGGTTTTATTTTTTGAAGACAGCTGAATTTTAGATATCCTCACTTAATCACTTATTGAATATGATAATATCGCAAGAAATGGACAGCCTGATGGGCTGATAGATTTCTCTTGAACTGTCATGCCTGTGTGTTTAATACTTACTTAAATGAAGCTGCTTAGATGGTTTAGAGAGTGTAAGTAGTCTGTGAGGATTTGTTCCTGACTACCTGATAGATCCTGGGCACTTGAATGTGAGGCAGAAATTTCCCTTGCGTATCTCAAGCCACATGGTGTAAGAAGGTGGCCAGACCTCAGGTGCCCATCTGGCTTTATCTTCTGTCAGCAGCAGCGCAGCCAGAGACCAGGTACAGCACAGCAGCCGTGTAGGAACGTGGCAAACATAGTGATGCTTTCCCAGGCTCCCGTAGTGTAAACAGTTTGGTCTGTTGGTTTGCATGTTATTAATGTGATCACAAGCATTCATGTTAGGAAAGCTTTGGAGTAAAGCACTGGGATTCAGTAGTTTGTACCTTTTTTACCTGGATCTTGTATGTTATTTGCAGTATAAATTCTCGTTTTTATTTCTTCTGGCAGCTGTATTTCTTTGACTCACTGCTTCTTAGGAAAAAAAACCAGAGATGAATCTTTGAAAGCTAAAAAGTCCATAAAACTTAATGGTCTTTAGAGGTTTTCTGGGGGAGTAAATAACTTGACTTCTGTAATATCAGAGAAGCATATGAGAGTAGAACAGGGCTTTCTTCCCAGGTATTTCATCTGGCAATAGGGAAGACTATTTGGAGGTTTCCTTTTAAACATCAGTATTTTAAACTGCCAGACTTGTTTCTGTTAGAGCCTTTTGTAGGGAGACTTCAGAAAAAAAGAACATCCTTTGTTTCCTTTTCCACATAGAAACTTACGCTTTAACTAAAATTTTATGGCTAAGAGGCTTGGGATGTTTTTTTGTTTGTTTAAAAAAACCAACACCTTTTCCATTCTGGTAGGTGGAAGGTGCAATAAGCCTGCATATAGTTCTGTTTTGTTATGTTTATTTAGTTATTCCTGTTCATCAGCTCAGGAACTAGAACAGACTTGTTCAAAAATCTTCCCACGATTTGGTTTCTGCCATCTGACATTCATCCCGTGTTCAGCAACAGGTGTCAGGTTTATGGTTGCAACTCCCAAATGCTTAGATGATCACCCGCTCCACTGCTAACTAAGCCCAGGACTGTTCAGCTTATGGGTAGATTTGGGCACATTTAGTACAACACAATGTAAGGTTACGTGTCATACATACATAGACTGCAACTGTGCTCTCGGCTCACCTAGATAAGTGTGCTTGTGTTCTGGAAACATTTCACAGGTGTAAAATGCCAAGCTGGTTGTCACCGACTGTCCACTTCCATGGCTGAACAGTCCTATCAGCAGCACTGATCCTTATTTCTTTTTTATTCGCTATGCAGCACCCCAGTGTGTCCCTTATGAGTCTCTTGTTAGGCTGTCATGAAAGTAATTGTGACCCAGCAGACATGTGAAGGACAACTGGTTTCTGGTACTCAGTTAACCTTGAGGTGGAGGAGGGTGGAAATCTACAAGTTGAGATACCATACTGGGCAAAGAATGGGGAATTGAGTTTTACCTTGGCTTAGCTGGCAGACCTGCATTGCCAAAGCAGTTAGATATACGGTCCTGTAAGGCTGACACTGATTTAGAGGACCAAACTCATTTTCTACAGCCTTCAACTTAATGTTCTGCAAGACCACTGCGAGAAATTTTATTGTGCTGCAGCAGCTTATTTCTTTTCTAACAAAATAACCACCCATAGAGGCAGTATTCAGAGCAATAAGCTGAGTCATGGTCATTCTTTGTAATGATTAATTATTTGAAAATGAATTTTAGATTTGTGATGTATCTCTTTTCCTGCTGTTCATAACAACTAAGTGGTTGAACATTGTGAGTAATTCTGGCTAACTCATGCTAATGCAAGTGGAGCAGCTGCTCTGTATTTTCAGTGTTCCAAATAATATAAGAAAATTTGCATGTAGGAAAAATCGGTTTAATATCCTAACCCTTTTGTATGAAAAAGGGAAAACTATACACAAAGGATTACATTTTCAAAGTGGCACAAGCATTGTTCAGCTACTCTTACTTGCTACCTGTTGAAAGGTCTCAAATCAGGTTGTATATCCCTCTGTCCATTTATGAATCCAGGAGGACACAAAGGAGGCATATAATTGCTGTAAAAGTCCAAGATAAAATACCACTGGTAGATGGAAACTGCATTTTGGTTGGCAATGAGCAGAGCTCCTCTGAACTGTCAATAGCAAAGGACTGTGGACAAACTTGGTCAGTTCTGCAATGCCATTTCCTAACAAGGCAAGTTCCTAAAACGTAGCCAGTTTTAGAGCCCCTTTTCTTGCATGATTGAAGCTCAGCAAAAGGACAAAAGCAAGACCGTTTTATCTAGCAATATACTCTTTTTAGATTGCAGCCCCTCTGAAAATCCAGCCACTGGTATGTGGGGTTAAAAGTACCGTGCCCTCTCATCTGGAAGGGGAGAAGCACTTACTGGCTGAGCTAAGGCGTTCATATTTGCAAAATGATTCAAGAATCTCACTAGGAAAGCTCAATAGAAGTGTCAGATGTTATTATGTACCTCGTCATTCCACATGACAAGAAGAAAATTACAGAAAGTAAGCCATCATTTTTGTGAATCAGAGCCCTCCCACTTCCTTACCACTGCTTAGCAATTTTTATGCCAGAAAAAGGAAGGATTTATTTAAAATCACAACTGTCATGAATGATGATTCCCAGCCCACACCTGGCTTTTGGAGTGCTACATTTCTGAAGCTTTAGGTGCATCTCTCAGCTCTTTGCAAAAAAGTTGTACAACTTCTGTAATTTCGCCCCAAAAATTACTTTCTGGAAAAAATGCCTTTAGAGGGAACAAAGACTACCGAAGAGTAAGCTGGTTTAGTTCGAAAGACAATCTGAAAACGTGGCTTTTTTCTGTATAGTTGCTAATGTGTGGTTGCTTCAGATGTCACTTTAGATCTATTCACCTTTTCACTATCAGCACAAGATGCAGATACGAGACTGAGTAACTAACTATGCTTCAGTTACAAGCTAAATATATCTTCCCACTCTGGATAGCCATGGAAATAATGAATACAGTCTATTTTTTTCTATGAGCTGTGTGGTCTCTTTGGTTTCGTCTCTGTGTGAGAATTAGGTAAACACCTCTTTAATGTAAGAGAAATTTTCTCTTTTATTAAAAATGTGAGGAAGTGGCTCCCAGCTGCTTTCAGCTTTGAATCGTGGGTATCTGGATAGGCACGTGATTTTTATTTTACAGAATTGTGTAAAACCCCCTTCCGGCTCCTGACGGCTTTGA